TATTCTTTAAAAGGCTATTTCATAATCTGTCCAGAACGAGTAATATTGGGCTCACTTTCTATTCTATATCTTTAGGGACCAAATGCAAGAACTCTTCTTACGCTAATTAAAAGTTTAAAAAGCACAATTGTATCTACAGGATAAATGAATTTTGAATTTGAACATTATTTCCTTCTTATCACGCTTATTGCACAAAATTTGCTCTCCATCTTTATTGACCATTAAAATAGTCCATTTCACTGCCATTACTCAAGCCTTCAACATAAGGATGGATAAATTCGTTTCTGGCAGAGATTTCGTCTCGTCTATAAGAGATGAAGGGGGCATCATTCTCTCTGAAAGGCAGCAAATTATAATACCCAATACTGATTGGTTGATTTTAAAGCCATAAACTCAAAGCGATGCTAGATTGTAATAAGGAAGGTGCAAATTCAAAAGCCAAACTTTTGCAGTTTTGTGATTTGCATCTTCTAATCTACACCTAGTACGAAATTGAAAATATTTAGCTCAAGGGCTGGCAATATAAGAGGGATGATTTTTTTTTAAAAAAAAAAAAGGCAGATTGGGATATTTCTCCCTCTTTAACTTTCTTAGTCTATACTAGGAAAATGCACCTGTACAATTTTTTTTTAATTTTAATGTCTTGAACTTTTGATATAGATAAATCAATAATGGATGTTATTGTAAGTAAGAAAATATAAAAATCATGCAATAAATGGTGATAAATTATTCAACCCCTTCACTAACAGTTCAAGAAGACCACCCAACAAGGGAACAATGTCTTGATAGAAAAAGGTTATTTCGTGAAAATACCAGAATTAGAAGAATAAAATAATCTTTGAGTATGATATGATTAGTGTTTGTAAGACATGATTGTGTTTGTATTAGTGTTAGTATTAGTATTTAAATAGAAGATCATTGAATAAAGTTTAAATTGTAGCCAAATTGTAAACATCAATATGTAGGCAAATTGTCTTAAGGGCATATTAGTCAAATCAAAAAGTAAGGGCATATTAGGCAAATAAAAAAAGTAAGAAATACCCATCGATAAATCATTCAACATACTTTTATATATAGTATAGATAAATGTTGACATTTAATTAGTAATGCACATTATATACACGTAACATATTCAAAGCCTTTAAGTTCTTTCTTATTCAAGTTGTATATTTCTAATTCCTAAATAGATTAAACAAATTTCATTACAAGTAATAGTTACAATATTTAGTTTGCCAAGAGGGAAGAGGACAATATACCATTAGAAGGGAAATTTCAAATTTAAGAGAAAAAATTGTAAGGCTGAAAGTTTAGGAAATTTTCTAACATAATCCATAATTTCCAAAAGCTGACAAGGGCAATGGCGCACTCTCAGGGTGAAGATCAGACTTTTGAGTTTTGATATTGCCTATGTTAGAATAGTGTAACACTGACTTTGTCTTGATCATTTATGATGAAGTGTGAATTGTTGAATTCATTTTGCTGGCTCAAGAATTTACATGCATGGAATAGTGAAGTATTTGGCAAGACATTCAGACATTTACTAAGCATAGGTATGCTTGTCAGATATGAGAAAATGGACAAATTACCAAAGTCCAATTTTACTGCAGAGCGTGGGAATTGTAAGCGCTTGGATCATGCTTGTTTCTTGAGCTAGATTTGTTCGTGAAATTCACTGGATTTTCTAGGCATTGGGCATTAAATGGGAAGAGTAAAAATGCAGCTGCATGTTGAATCGTCACTAGTATAAATAAGGGGTTCATTTGTCATTCTTGGCATCCTATCATCTGATGAAAATAAGAAGAGCTCAATCAAAGTTGAAACTCTTTGAGTGTTCTAGTACTTAAAGTGCAATTCATGAGTGTTTAAGTAGATATTTCAAGTGAAAGGTTTTGACAAAATTAGAGTCGATATTCTTAAAACTGAATCTCAATTTAGTAGTTTCTGGTGTACGTTTATTTTATGAGTATTATTATTCTATACACTTTGAGTATAACAAAATTGTTTGTTTGTCTCTATTATCATTGAATTTAATCCATTAATTTGGTATTAGAGTCTATCACAATCCAACAGCCTATTCATCACTAGAGGATATGAGAATAAATGGCATTAATTTTCTCAATGATGATGACATTGGTATCTCCATATTCCTTCACTGAGAAAGTTGGAGATCCTTGGAAACTCGTGTCTAAATCGGTATCCAGATTCCCTTTTTTTTTTGGACCAAAGAAATTTGTGATCCAACCTCTTGCCAGGCTAATTGGAGCTCAAACCTAAGTTTGAATTTCTCGTTGGCTGATTTATGTGTTATCTCAGATTCCAAGTCCACATCTAAAGTGTGGTAAAGCTTAATTTGTAAAGTGCAAAATGTCAAGCATCTAAAATTAAGTGACCATGTGTGTAAATTTATCGTTCGAAGCAGAAATTAATCATTAGTACTAGTTGCACCTTCCATGCAAGGCATGGGTTTTTAGTGCCTTTACAAACCACAACTCTAAGCTTTGAAATGGCGAGATAGACATGGCTATGGTTCCAAAATCGCGAGTTTTGATTTAAAAATTGATGATTCCAATTCTTCTGAAAAGTGGAACCTAAATCGGCCCTTACAGAGATGATTACAGTCATGGTTCTTGAACCTTTGATTCCAGTCCAGTTTCAGTTCCAATTTTATTCCGATTATGGTTCAGATTTTTCTTTTGATTACTGTTCAGGTTCTTTTAATTATGCTTAAACACTTGTTATCATAAAATTGATTTTAAGAAAATATGATAATAAATGTAGAATTATTATGTTATCATATGCAAGGAAAAAGAAAAAATGATGCAATTTTTATTTTAAAAATTACCTCATTGTTGATTAGATTAAATTGGTCTTGAATTTAAATTAGTTATGAGGTATAAACTTACTAACGGGATGGGACAATAGATTGTTAGGTTAGGATTGAGACTGTTGGTGCTAGGTGCTCACTATTAATATTGAATTCTAAACTGGCCAAATAGGTTTAGGTAGTAGGTATTTTTTTTAAACGTTTTCAACTGATCTTAAACCGCCAATTCAAGTTCCAATTCAAAATTTTTGTGAACCTGAACCTAAATCTTTAGTCACGATTATAGTTTTGATTTCAGTCTCTAAAATTCGGTTCTGATTTTGGTTCAACAAACTACTGATTTAAATTTGAATCGTGGCCACCCCTAAATAGCAACGGAAGAGAAGGCGCATGTTTGTCCAAGCGACAGTGCTCTCACTACAAGAAAATTGTTCATCAGTGACAACACAAAGTCATCACAGAACATACAAATATCGTCACAAATACCTTTTATTGATGACTTTTTGATCGTCACAAAGTCGTCACTAAATCCCCGTCGGTAAAAGTAAACAGTGACGACCTAAAATGTCGTCACTAAATAGTTTTCATTAGTGACGACTTTAAGTAGAGCATTTTTGACAAAAGATCAAGTCGTCAATAAAACACTTCCAGATTGTCGTCACTAATGACAACTATTTAGTGACGACCTGAAATGTCGTCACTAAATAGTTGTCATTAGTGACAACAATCCGGAAGTGTTTTATTGACGAATTGACCTTTTGTCAAAAATGCTCTACTTAAGATCGTCACTAAAAAGCACCGAAAGCCATTGTATATAACTATTTTACTGACAACAATTGTCGTCACAAATGTAACTTAGATTTAGTGACAGTCTCTGTTGTGACAAGGAGTTTTTATTTTCTAATTTGTGACAACTTTTTTTTGTCATTAGATAATTTCTCAATAGCTTAATAATCATAATTTGGCCTGTAATCATTGCTAAATCATTGATTTTAAACAAACCATACAAATAAACATGAACGATTGATAACCAAAAGTATTTGCATTAGATTACATGGTAATAATATAGCATTCTCAAATGCCAAATTCAAGTGTACATTACCCAACTAATGCCTACAAAAATAACATTTGTCCAAAATATCACTTGTACATAAGGTACATTTACAAAAGCAATCACAGTTTAAGAAATTGAAGAACTTTTAAATGAACCACTCCATGAGCAAAAGGCAATTTTGTCTTCAATATTCTTCAACCATAACCATAGTTATCTTCCGAAAGCTAGTATGAATAGCATTTATCTGTCATAAAGGGGTAAAAGAAGTAGGTAAGGGGAGGAGTACAATAATAAAGAACAAGTAATGAGACTTAGATTATTAAGACAAAAATTACAATTCATTAAGAACCTCATATAATTTGGGCCCACATATTACAACACCAGCAAGAAGTTAGAAATCACAGTCCAATCTATACAAATACAACACTGCATAAGCTCAACTAAAGAGCTCTCTAAAACAGTTTTTTTTTATTTTCTTTCTTCTTTAAATAGCTCAACTTATTGAACAATTAAATTGGACTCCCACAGTAATTGTTGTTTAATCTTTAGATGAATTCGGTGTAGTTGAAGTCCACAGAGAATGGACTCCACAGGTTGGATTGCCATTTTTCTTCAAAATATTTTTAGGTTTCCGTAAATACATTTTCTAATCACTCTTTTATCTCATATACATCATATCACTACGGTATTTTTTTTTTTTTTACAAAAACTCCAGAAAATAGCAATCGAAACAGGCATCATACTTCGATATTTTCCTTTGACAAAAAGGAAAACATCATGAAGTCCTGTAACATCATTTGAAGTCAAGTTGTTTCATTCTAGTTAAAAGCAATGGACCAACACATCTACAAAGGTGGAGATATGGATGCTGTTCATTTCCAGTTGTCATCCACACACATAGTTCCAGATAGAGATTCTTTTGCTCAGGCAATTGATAGTGAATATTTTCCTAGGCCTTAGTAGTTAAATGATATACCCTACGCCCAGACCAGAACAACATTCTTGTGGCTTTGTTCTAATATCAGATATTTTGATCTGGATGTGTGTTAGTCCAACCTTTCACATAATTACACAAGAAATGAGGCATTAATGTGAACCAGTATTTTGTCAGTCTGAAAACCATTTTTAAGACTAGGCGACCTTGGAAGCCAAGCAATTGGTTAAAATTTCCCACTACTGATTCTAGTTTTCAAACAGGATCCAAACTAGTTTTCTATGTACAATAACTACATGCTTGTTCAGCTATTCTCAGCTTACCCCAAGGGTGCTTTTATTCTGAATTCGCACTTTCTCAGCTCAAGTTAAAACAGATGTCAAAACCAACAATGAATACCGAAAAACTTGCCTTAATTAACCAAATCAGAAAACTTGCGCAAGAAACCCACTGTAGCTTGGTGATGCTATGCTACTGGTCTTAAGTGTAGAATTTAGAAGCCTAATTTGATTCTCTGTCTCAATTTCGTTTCCAAATCCTCCGTTGATGGAATCTTCCCACCATTCCTCAAAGTTCTGGACCACCAGACCTTTAATTCATCCTGTTAGGTGAGCACGTAGAAAACAATTGGTCTCAACACAGAGATAGATTCAAGAAATCTACCATTAACAACTAAACAGAAAATTCAAATGGAAATGAAAGCCCAAATAGTACCAAGCATCAGATACCAAATACAAAAGCATTAAATATTTACACCACCACAGCCGAAATAACATATAGCTCACATTTTACTGCATTATCTGGGATAATTACAGAAGAGAAGTTGAGAAACACCTTAATTTTATTTAAACCATGTAAAATCAGTTAGCATACTAAATGAAAGTCATAACTGTAATGGTGGCTTAGATGCTTTTGAACACAAATATAGAGGGAATTTACCTCTAAGAAGTCCTGATTGGACACATACTGACTCCCAATCGAGCATTTAATACCTCCAACACTCACAGAAATGGAAGTTTTAGAATCTTTCACTGGTTCCCCTGCTTGCTCCACCGTTAATACACATGCCAAGGACAAGAAAGGGAAAGTGGTAAAGTACATAAGATAAATAAGTACCATCAGTGCTTATAAGCAATAAATGGTTTCCAAAAGTAGCATCCTGAAACAGATTTCCCAAAATGCAGTTTCACATATGGCTTACCTGTAATACAAGCAACGTAGTAGCCAGTTCCACCTAATCCTGCTTCCCATTTACCAAGTCGCAAGCACAGGAAAAGACCTTCCAAATGTAACAGTGAGACATCGGAGTTTATCCATCTGAAGCAGAAGCTACTTCTAAGAGTTCAGCATTTAAAAAGGTGCTCAGTACAGATATATAAATAGCATTGGAATTAAATTTTATTAAGAAAGACTGAACCTATGCAGGGATCCCAAATACTTTAGAATGACAGAGGGTAACACAGACAGGAGACGAACAACTTATCATAACATTGGAATGCAATAATAAGATTTCCTCCTTGAGTAGCAATGTTTATCATATCATCATCCAAAACCAAATAATTCACTGAACTTAGTTGTCAAAAAGGCACCATATCATTCACCGCTTTCTAAAATACATCAACAAGGTGTAAGAAATAGACAACAGGCAAATACCAGTGTAGTTAAGAGCACTGTAATTCTCCAATAGGACCATCTCTCCATGAAAATCAACTATCTGTCTGCCTACATTCATCAGATTACCATTCGAACCATCATATTACCTTTTATCTGGGGAATTTAACAAAAATGGAGTCAACATCTGTCTCCCACTCAGGGCCAGTTCTTCCTTATCTAATTCTCTGCTTTAGTTCCTCACATACTGACCAATCTACTCCCATTATACTTATAGAGCCATATAAGATCAATCTTTTTTGCACGGCAAAAAAAGAGCATGCAGTCAAAACTCATATGCTCTATTTTTGTACAATCAAACCTCGTAACATATACAAATTTTGACCATGAAGATTGTAAGTGTTCAGTAATGCACAGAATACATAGATTCAAAGTCTAACATAGATAGAAAGGAGTATATACTTACCCAAACATCACAATAATTGGGAATTCCATAGCAGGGACCAATAGCATCAGCATAATGAGCTGCAAGTGTGGTAATATTTTTCTTTGGATCTGGTCTTGACAATGCTAGAATCATTGGCTTGTGGGGATTTGTGAGAAACCGCATTACCTGTCAAAACAGTTACTAAGATGTAAGGTAAACATTCCCAGGTAAGAGCAAAATCAGTTATGAAAACCACCTACTCACTTCTGACCATATTGGAGGGAGTGCTTTAGGTGAAGTACCATCACCATTGGTTAGTGCTACAAGTTCACCATCGACTTCGGCTGTGTCTTCTTGTGCTATGACATTGCTGAAGTCCATCCCAGGAGGGATAACCTGAAAAATGTAGCTAAAACTAGCAGATATTAGAACCTTCATAAATGTATATACACTTGAGCAGATGTCTAGACTTTCTCATGATGCTCTCCTGGCTGCAGAATTCAAGAACCTAAGTGAAAATCATAGTCTCATTGACAACAGCCATCTGCCATACTAGTGCTTAATAGGAAATAACAAAGGCAGATCATACATGTCTAATGAAATCTTCTAAGTTCCTCAAAAGAGGCATGCTATCAATTAAAAACCATTACTGCACTGGAGTAATGAGCCTTGTCTTAGTAGCTTACCATTCCAGGGAATTACTTTAGTTGAACAAAAAAACAAAGAAGCAATAACTATCTAAATTGCTTTGCTTATTTTAAGAACCAACACTAATGCACAAGTTTCAGCTAAAGCAATAGCACATCAATTTAATTTCTCAACAGTATGCTTACCGCCATCCTTGGCATGTAGCGACCATGGCAATTGACCCCTCTTCTTGCACGGGCCCTCAAAACTTTCTCAAGCTTTACATCAAATCCATCATATAGTCCCCACTGTTCATCAATCTCCTGCTTGGTGCTTGTAATAACAAGTTCTGCAGCATCAAGTGAAAGTTCTTCTGCTTCTACCCTACGCATAATTTTGTATGTAGAATTAATGTCCTCTTTTGATTGCCTTCCTTGTTTCAGAAGTTGTTCTAGCTTGTTTCTACCGAGTGAGTGCCCTGTCAGAACCATATGCAGTCAAAACTCATATGCTCTATTTTTGTACAATCAAACCTCGTAACAAATACAAATTTTGACCATGAAGATTGTAAGTGTTCAGTAATGCACAGAATACATAGATTCAAAGTCTAACATAGATAGAAAGGAGTATATACTTACCCAAACATCACAATAATTGGGAATTCCATAGCAGGGACCAATAGCATCAGCATAATGAGCTGCAAGACAATTCCTCAATGCCGGCTGTAATAACTCCCATGGCAGCGGAATTCTCACCCCCTGTGACCTCAACTCGTCATCCCTCCCCTCACTTCGCAAATGCTGAATTTCTTCCACAACATCCTCAATCTCATTGTGACCCCTCGAGTCACCCGAAAGCCCATGGCTATTTTCAGTAAAATTATCAGGTTTTTGGGTAGTAAAATCATCGAAATCAGATTTACAAGGGCAATCCTGACTTGCCCAATCTGTCGAAAATTTGCAAAAATCAAGCTTTGACCAACTGGGCATTTGCGAGATCTGCTTATAATAACAATCAAGGGCAATGCCTACAATGGAAGCTCGTTTAGTAGACTTCACCGCCATCTGTGGTTCGAGAGGAGGCGATAGAACGCCGACTAGAGGCCGAGACGAGGGGTTATTGTTAATGGGGTTCGATTTATTCGAAGGGGGATTTCGAGAGGAGTGATAAAGAGAAGGTTGAGAGAGATCAGGAATTGAAATGAGCACGGGTATACCCGAATGAGCCTTGACTTCAGATGAGTAGAGGACAAGAAGGACAGCTTCGAAGCCGGCGAGATTAGGGGTGGGGGAGATAGCGGATGTGGTGGAGGAGGAGTGGATGCGGGATAGATAGAAGGAGGAGAGGAGAGGGATATAGCAGAGGACAACGAGGCGGAGTTCGGAGTCAGCGGAGAGGAAGGTGTCGTATAGCCACAGGCAAAGAGAGTCGTCGTCGGAGCCGGATGAAGGGGAGGAGAGGGAAGATGAGATGGAAGAATAGGCGGCGGAAGAGAGGAGGAGGGAGCGGGCAGGGCGGTCGGAGTCGGCAAGGAACGAGAGAACTGAGGAGGTTCCGGGGAGAAGAGTGGAGAGGAGATGGATTCGAGTGCGGGCTTTTGATATGGACTCCCACCAGGAGTGCATCGAGTCGGAGTTATTTGCTCCGGCAGCGATGCGGTGGGGAGCAGGACCACCGTTTTGGTGGTTGAAGGAAGTGGAGTTGGATGGGTTAATCTCGGTGGAAGAGGTGGATGAAGAAGGGGATCCACTCCTACCACTATAGCTAATTAAAACCTTCACCTTCCCCAAACTCAATCTCTCAAACCCGTTTCCACCACCAACTCCGCTGAAAACCTTTATCTTGCACAATAAAAAAATGAAGTAATGGTATTCACAACTAAAATAATTCTAGTGGAGATGATTTCGCCCATAACTCAAACAATATCCAAAAAACTTGGGCACAAATTTTCATATCAAATTAACTGATAATCATTCTAAGTTAAGTAGTCACAAGTTTATTTACACTAATGAATTATTTATTTATTCAATTATTTTTATTCTAATGAAGTTATTACATATACAAGAAAATTAAATTAACAAGGAGGCTCGTAAGTATATAACAGTTAAAAATCATTAGAGAACACATAATGATTACAAAAACACAATGCTTTTTTTTTATTTTTAATTTGGTTTGAAGCATAGATTTTATTGCTATAGTATTATTCTTTATTTTTTAGTACAAAAACACAAATTTTCATCAATATAGGTGGCAAAATTTGTTAATTACATATAAGTGAAAATATACTTTTATAATTTGTAAATATTTTAGCCCTGCAATTTTTTATAATTGCAGCACTAAAGTACATCATTAATTAAAAATAACGAAAGTCAAATTCTATGGTTATAACAGACTTTCATTAAAAATAATCAAATGCTATTAATAAGACATTATTGTTAAGTCAAAATCAAAGAAAATTTAGTGATGACATAATGTTATCACTAATTTATTCAAGATTATAATGACAAGAAAAGTCGTCACTAATTAAATTGCTAGTTTTTAATATTGTCAATTGCTAGTTTTTAATACTTTTGTGAAAATATTGATAATGGTTGAGAAAATTTTGTTACATTACCGCAAGTGATAAATGTACTTTTGTTCTTTTTGAAACATTTATTTTAATGTTTAATTTTGTTTAAAACTATTGTACTAGTATAGATTTGCAAGACAAAACTTAAGTTCTCAATAGTTAAAAAATTCATTACATAGAAAACACGAAGTAGTAGTTGCAAAATGTGTATAAATTACAAATATTTTAATGTGTATAAATTACAGTTTATTTTAATGTTTAATTTTGTTTGAAACTATTTTACTAGTATACATTTGCAAGACATAGATTTATGGGTAATTTCTTTTTTTTTTTTGCTTTCACATATTTAATTTATGTTAAATACAAAACCTACCAGTTTCCCTTCCATAAAAATATTAGTGCAACACTTTTTAAATTTTATTTACAAACATTTATGTATTTAACATAAATTAAATGATTTGGAGTGAAATGCCCATAAAGAGCAGAATATTTGTTCATGTAATGGAGGAAACCCACAAAGAGTTGGTACTTTATGGGCCATTTCTTTTTTAAAAAAAATATAATTTATGTTGAAAAGATAACCTGCCAGTTTTCGTTTTGTAAGAAATCAGTGTAACACTTTTTGAATTTTACTTACAAACATTTATAAATTTATCATAAATTATATGTTTGAGAGTAAAATGCTCATAAAAAGTTGGTACTTTGAATAGATAATGCTCATTTGCCCATAAATTACACTCCCTGAAGGCTATTTTGTTAATTACTTTGTAGTACTTTGTTATTCCTTTGCTAATACTACTTGGCATGTAGTACAAAGGATAAATCTGGCATAAATTTCTTATTCCATTGATAAAAAGACCTGTCTGCCTTATAACTATTGTAATGAAAGATATATCTTTAGAGTTTATAACAAATTATTACTTAAGTTTGAGAAAATTATAAAATATTTATGCATAGTTTATCAAGATACCATTCGCAATTTCCTAATAAAAAAATAGGGGCTAAATTGTAAAAGTTAGGGTGCCATAATAGAAATAATAAAATTGGGGTATTACATATGGGGGTTAAATTGCAAAAGTTAGAGTGCCATAGTAGAATTAATGAAATTGGTGAATTACATATGGGGCTAAATTACAAAAGTTAGGGAGTAATAATAGAATTAAAGAAATCGGTGTACTACATATGGGGCTAAATTGTAAAAGTTAAGGTATCATAATGGAATTAATGGAATTTTTTACAACATTTGGGGTTAAATCGCAAAAGTTAGGGTGGCACAGTAGAATTAATGAAAGTGACTTAGAAATAAGTACTTTAAACAGTGACGATCAATTCTTGTCACTAAATCCGAATCGGTAGAGTGACAGTGACGATATTAGAAGTTGTCACTATATAGAGCATTTTAGTGACAACTTTTTCAAGGTCGTCACTGAAGACTTAGTTGCTTTGAGCAATTATGACAACATTCCTTGTCGTCACTAAACAACCACGTTTTGTGACGACTTTTGTCGTCACTAAAAAATGTTGTCACTAATGACCATATTTCTTGCAGTGTAGTTTGTGACGAAAATAACGGGTCGTCACTAAACATTTAGTTGCTTTGATGCAATTGTGACAACTTTAGGTGTCGCAACTAAAGAAGCTCCTTTTGTGACGACCTATTGTCATCACTACAAAATGTTGTCACTAATAACTTTTTTTTTAGTGATCAGTGACGACAACAAAAAGTCGTCCGTAAATAGGCCAAGCAATAGTGATGATGTTCTTAATGTCGTCACTATTGTGTGTTCTAAACACTCCCGCGCTCTTACTAAATCTTGGCGGGAATTTACTAGTGACGACTTTTCTAAGTCGTCACAAATGAGTTGGCTCCCATTAGAGGTTTGTGACGAGTTAGAAAGTCGTCAATAAAGGATCCACTTTTGTGACAATTATTTTTCGTCACAGAGAAAAGTTGTCACTGATGACCAATTTTCTTGTAGTGTCTCAGTGTGTTTGGTTTTTAAATTTATCCTTTCCCACCAAATATAAATATATATATATATATATATATATATATACACACACACAAAAACTGTGCTCTTGGCTCACGTTAGCATGGAAATCGCTCACCCTTCCCCCCCCTCCCCCAACCCTCATTTTCGTGTCCAAACCCCTTTGCTACTATTGGGTTTATATTTACACTGTATTGCTGAAGACCCCATTTTTTGTAGTACTGTTGTTTAAAGCTCTTAAAACATGTAATCAGGTATCTATGGTGTGGACAATGATCATTTTCAAAAGAGTATTAGCTTGTAAGCCTATGATTGTAGTTGCTTAATGTATTTTATATCAGGTTGGATCCTTAAGCGAGTTCCTGCTTTTTGTTAACAAGGTTGAATTCTCATTATCTTCCCTCCTTTTACTCGTAAGATGAGAGAGAGAGAGAGAGAGAGAGAGAGAGAGAGACCCTCATCCTGTTTAGACTTTGGAGGTAACAAGATTGTTCTTTTTCTTTGGCAGGGCATCAGAAGCAAAGTAAATGAATCTTTCCGTGGCAGATTTTGAGCCCCTATGTTTCAGACATAAGCTTGAGGAAGTCCAAAACAAAATTTTCTGAGGGGTCTAACTTACATTTTGAGTTCGTTAGAAACTTTTTTGCAGCACGGAAGAGTACCTAGGAAGAAGTGGTGCTATGGAAAAGGGCAGGCCCAAAAGATGGCATCCTGCAGAGTGGAAGAAGTGAGTGAAGTTTAGACGGGCCTCAAACCGTGAGATTGAAAGTTATGTAGAATGGAAAAAACTTATGATGTAAATGCTCATAGAACAACAAGAAACACTTACCATGCATGCAGGGATTAGCAGACATCATGCTTTACTTTTCTATTTTGGTTTTGTGATCAGGATCTATTGGATTTAACTAGGGCTTAATAGGGTCGAACCAGCCCAAACATGGCCTGTTCGACCCTAAGGGTTCCTTTGGGAGTTGAGGATTCGAACGGAAAAGAAAGGGAAAGAAGAGAAAGCCTGATTTTCCTTTGTTTGTGAGTTTTAAGTAAGAGAGAAAAGAAAGGAAATGGGAGAATGATTAGTGGGCAAAATTTTTCCTCCCAAATTGGAGAGAAATGGAGAGAAAGTTGGAGGAAACTTGTAATTTTTTTTTTAAATACCTCTTTTATTCTTAAAAATACCATGAACAAATATTTAATGACTTTCATATTCAAAATCATTCCACTAATTCTCAAAACTTCCAAACAACATAACAATCATTTCTCTTCTCTTCTCTTCTCTCATAACTTAAGTTTTCCCTTCTTCTTTTTTCTATCCTAAACTCCCAAACTTAGCCTAAAGAAAAGAGGCTAAACTTATTATAGTTCTAGATCAGGCAAAGTTTAGATCTAAATTTGAGCCCAGTCTGGACTTCTATGGGCTCAACCTAATTAAAGCCTAGCCCATTATTATATGCATACGCATATATATATATATATATATATATGTGTGTGTGTGTGTGTGTGTGTGTGTGTGCATCCTATTGTATATAACTATAAATGTATTATTTTTAAATATAAAATTTAATAGAAAGTGAATGAGATTCATTATATAAATACATTTTCCATGTTTTATTATGAACTTTACTACTTAATGATTATAGTAATTATATTAAAAGAATTAAAAAGTAATTAGTGAACTTGAATTAAATCCGAATTAGACTCAAAATTCGAATGTATTGTAAGCCAAATATGAGCTCACACATATTATCCCAAAACCAATAGTGAGAAACCCAAATATCTTACTAACTAGGAGAGCCGTGCCCTGAGATGATTGATTTGACAGCCCAGCCCTAGATTGAAGTGCTCGTGACGCAACTTCTCGAATATTTAGTGGAACAATCAATGTATACTGTACATATGATTATTTCGTGCTCTGAATTTGATTTTGCTTTCGTTGTTGCCCTAATTCTAGTTGATGATTGTTCACTGACTCACTGTTTGCTCTAATGATATAAAATCATAATTTTATATTATCTAGTTTGTTGGCAATGCACTACATCCCTCAACTTTATCCCGAGTTATTGGGTAGAGGCTACAGAATCGTTAGGCTAGGCCAATTCTACTTAGGTTCCGTTTGATAAAACTAAATATGAATTCTGAAATCTGAATACTGAAATAATTAATTTGCTGAATTTTAAACACTGAAAAGAAATATATGAATATCTGAATTTTAATGCTAAATCTATTTATGCTATTTGATAAATATTTATAACTGAATTCTTAATAAGTTTAATTTGATAATTTTGTCCTTATATCTTTTCATTCAAAAAAGAAATAGAACCTATGATTTAATTAGTTTAAAGTTGTTAGGTATGAAAATGACAATATTTATTTTTAAATCAAATTAATATAAAAGATGAAATATGTTATATGAGAAGTATGGAGAAGATGTGAAAAACATTAAAAAAAAAGAGAAAAGAGAAACAGAAAATCATTGATAGAGAATATCAGATTATTTAATTAGATTAGAATTTTGAATATAATTAACAAATAATGGTAGATTTGGTAGATAAGATAAGATAGTTGAAGTAATTCTATTGATTCTTACCAGAATAAAACATTCAGTTAGGATTCTTGTTGTGATACACACAAGTTGCTTAATAAGTTCAGCAGATGGATTTCCATTTATCAAACACTCAAAACATCTGAATGTCTGAAAAGGTTCAGTTTCAGCACTTTTTTATATTATCAAACAGACCTTTAGGTTCCGTTTGATAAAATTGAATCTGAATTCTGAAGTCTGAATTCTGAATTCTGAAATCTGAATACTGAAACAATTAATTTGCTGAATTTTAAACACTGAAAAGAAATATATAAATATCTGAATTTTAATGTTAAACTTATTTATATTGTTTGATAAATATTTATAACTGAATGCTTAATAAATTTAATTTGACAATTTTGCCCTTATATCTTTTCATTTAAAAAAGAAATAGAACTTATGATTTAATTAGCTTAAAATTGTTAGGTATGAAAACAATAATATTTATTTTTAAATCAAATTAATATAAAAGATCAAATATATTATATGAGGAGTATGGAGAAAATGTGAAAGTCATTAAAAAGAGAGAAAAGAAAAACAGAAAATCATTAGATAGAGAATATTATGTTGTTTAATTAAATAAGAATTTTGAACATAATTAACAAACAAAGGTAGATTTGGTAGATAAGATAAGGTAGTTGAACTAATTTTATTGATTATTATCAGAATTAAACATTCAGTTAGAATTCTTGTGCTGAAAAAAATATATACAAGTTCAGCACTACTTAACAAATTTAGCAAATAGATTTTTATTTATCAAACATTCAAAATATCTGAATGTTTGAAAAGGTTCAGTTTCAGTACTTTTTTATGTTATTAAACAGACCCTCAATCTTAAACCATTAAACTTTGCTTATAAGCACATTTTATTCTCTACTTAATATTTTAGGGTAAAAGTGCCCTTTCAATGTTAATTATTTTTCTATGTTCTTTTTCTCCATTTTTCTTTCCTTTTTAGCTTGTGCTTTTTTTCTTTTTTTCTTATTCTCCCATGACTAGCTACTTTTTTCTTTTTACTATTATTACATATATATTACTACTTTTAATCTATATGAACTAATTATTCCTTTAATCTTTTACGTTTAATTTTTAGTACTAATAATAATGGTAGCCTATACTTTTCATTTTAATTACTATCTCATAAAAATGATCTATTCAAAACTCAATGAAGAATAGGTATTTTTGTTTAATTCATATGGTCAGACGGTTTACTAGAATTCTGTTAACAAAAATTGGAGTTCAATTCACATTTCCAAACTATATAGATAGTAAAGAGTAAAGATAAATAAAAATGCTAGTGGTGTATTTTAGTTGATATTTATTATTAAATATTACGTATCTATGCGTTCTAGTTTGTGTATATTTATTTCGATAATTTTAAGTTCCTAGATTATATATGCTTTTCATTGTGATGAATATATAACATTTTCTCATGTCATATTGTTAGTCATGAACTCCTAATAGCAAAAATACGCAAGTAAACAAATTACAGCAAGAATAGAATTATAAGTAGAAGAAAATTAAAATATTATTATAACAATAAAATTAGTAATACTAATAGGACAAGGAAAGAAACAATAGCAATGAGGGAAGGGCAAAAAGGAAAAATGAAAGCCAAGTAATAGAAAAAAAGGAAATGTAAAATGGAGAAAAACAAATATATATCTATATGCATATATGCATAGTGATGGTTGTTTTGTCCAAACATCAAAAAAGGGACATTAAGTGTCTAGTAAAGAAGTTTACAATGTAAACTGTAATTGGAGACCAAGTGTAGGTTGGGTTAGTGCATTTAACTCTAATTTTTGGGTTAATTCCATTTTGTCACCTTAAACTATATACGGAATCTCACTTTAATCCCTAAACTTCAAAATGGGACACTTAAATCCCTAAACTATAGAATGTGTTCCAATTAAGTAAAATTGGTGACGGAATTCAAAAAATTAATGGTGTATTAGGAATGTGGAGAACACGCTCCATTAATGTGATTGTGTCTCTATTATAAACCAAAAGAATAGTGACATAAGATAATTTTACCTTTTTTAATTCCTTCTTCTTTGTTCTTCCATTTTCCTTTTTGTTTTTTTCCCTATTCTTCTTCTTCCCCATCCTTCCCAGTTGTATCCCCACCTCTACCACCCCATCCTCCACCACTATCACTCTCTAACCTCTCCCTTCCCCCGCCAACCCACTATTTCCAATCCCTTTTCCACCCCTGCATTTTGCTGGTCACCAAAACCCATCACGACTAATCCATTCTTAATATTGACTCTCCCCTCTTTTCTATCATGGCTGATCTCCACCTGCTTTAGCCATCATCCAATTTCCTACTTTTCTATGTTTCTTTTCAATATCAAAGATTTCAAGGATAAAACATGCATCAAGAAGTTAGAAAAGATTTCAACTTGAAGCTTGAAATTTGTTTTTGGATGTGTTGGTATGGGTTCTTCCATGAAGGTTTGCAATGGCCTTGAAGGTTTTATTGAGTGAAATAATATTGAAAGAAAAGGCAAGAAACTTATCGACAGCAATTCCCATAATTTTCCCCCTTTATTAATGCATACTAACCTTTTGTATTTGAATCCGATTGTGATATCAATTTCGAAGTCTCAACCAAGTAGACATTCAATTTTTTTTCATCTTTTAGACAATTTAGTTCACATCCCCCGCTTTGTAGTCTAAATTATGCATTGTACTTGAAATTTTCCTTTTTGGCCTGACGATTTTGGACGATGAGCATAAAGATGACCTAAAGGCCTTTTCCTCTTTAATCAACCTTTGTGTCTCCTGTTGAAATTGATGTGTCTCTTGTTGCAATTGATGTGTCTCTTGTTGCAATTGATATGTGTTAGTAGCTATTAATTCAACTATTTCTTCAAGAGACATACCTGACATGGATGACGGTTCTTGAGACTTTAGCTGTTGAAAATCTATTGGCCTTTGTTCATAATTAAAATTGGAATCATCCCACTATTCTTGATCATACCCGTTTGAATAAGGGTCATATCACGTTTGATATTGAGGTGAAAAATTTTCAAAAGTATCGATTGGAGCACTTAGACCATCTTGAAATGCAGGACATATGTCGATTGAATGATCTAAGGCAAAATAAGTTCCACAATTTGCAACAGCCCATTGATCATTAGAAAAAACACGAGTCTCATAACCCCTTCTAGAAATAAAATCCTGTCTATCACCAAAGTACGGAATGTTAGCAGCCATAAACTATATATAAAAAAATAAGAGAAAAATAAAAAAAATGAAAACAAGATGAACTCAAAAAGAAACAAATTAATCAGGCACCAGTCCCCGGCAACGGCGTCAAAAATTGACAGGTGCCGAACCTGTGCAATAATAATAAATGAAACCTAATTGCCACCAAAAGTAGTCAATAATCAATTTTAGGTACTGGAGCAGGGACTCTAGGTATGCAATAGGTTACTTGATTCACCCTATTCCCGAAGAGTTTGTTTAATCCGATAAACCCGAATTCATTATCTGACTAAAATTCACTAACTAATAGACAATGACAAGCATGGTCGTCTCCTCAGGAACTAGGGAGAAATTTATTTCCTTTCAAGTCGAGATAAATGGGGGGTTTGGAATTAAATGCTAATGAACTAAATAAATCAAATATAGAAAATAATTAATTAAAAGAAATAATTGGGAGAACTCTAAACAAGGGTACACTTCAGAAATGGTTCATATAACTGATCATCGATTCAAATATAATTCCAACATTTATTAATAGATTGGTTATAGTTGTCATGCACGCGATAAACAATCAACTCTTCCTTAATTTCTCGATAGTTAAGGTACGACCGTTAACTATTTCTCTAACCAAAAAACAACCCTAGATACGACCGTAGGATTTAATTTTTAGATTGCATTAATAATTAGAAAGGTCTAATTCTAACTAACAAACACGCTACGAGGGTTTGTTTAAGTTATATCGTTCGTTTCTCTGACATAAACCCAATTACGCCAGTTGCTACTGAGATAGAGATAATCGAACAATTACAGATTCAATTACCCCTATTTAGCAAAATAGCCTATATGAATAATTAATTATTGCGCACTAATCAATCATACACAAGAGCTATAACAATTAAAAGCAGGAAACATATAAATACCAAGAAATGAAAGAAACAATTAAAAATGGTTTAGATCTCACAGTAATTGTCGAACCAAATCGTCAGTTGCCCCCTTGACTAGAATTAGGGATTTAGTTCTCCATAATTAGAGAACAAGCCATGCAAAAAATTGTTCCAAGCTTTTCCATCGTTTTTCCTCCCAAAAGTGCTAAGGAGGAAAAAGTAAAAGACCTAAGTACCTCCGAATTGTTCCCCCGTTTTCTCTCCAAAAAGCATAAAGAAAAGCTGATGCCTCCTGTCTCTTGTGCGGCCAGGCCCACCAAAGAGAAACTCACGCTACTGACTTCGTAATAGTCCAGAATTCTAATCTATATCAACTTTCCTTATCTAACAGATTCCTAAAAAGAATGATTTCCTAATAGTACTCAACTGTTAACTAGAAAAAGGCAATAGTTATTCCAGCATTGCCTCGGACTCGGAATCCACAATTCTTTGGAAATTGCCTCTGTACGCGTGAGATCCCGACTTTTCGGCTTTGAGCAGTGAGTTTAGGCATGCCCACATGCAAGCGTTAGATGTTTTTCACTAGAAAATCTTCATTTAAGCACTTTTCATTCCCGCTCCTGAAAGAAGCACAAAATATCAAATATAAGTAGAATCCGACAATTAAAATAATATTTAGCTAAAATCAAGGGGAAAATAATTATAATTTGGATGACAATTTCACATTCTATCAATGTGTAGCCGAAATTCTTGTTTGGAAAGTAGTGTGAAAATAGAGCAAGTGACTGAGCAAGTCGTAGAATGCAGGTTACAATACGCGACCTTAGGAATACGCGACTTAAGGTAGCGTATTGCTATCTCGCGTATTCGAATCTGCAAATTTAACTCCATTTCAACTACAATTTTCTCAATGATGGAAGCCAAACTAACTTTTGTGCAAAACACGGCCTCAGGAATACGCGACTTAAGGTAGCGTATTGCCATCTCGCGTATTCGAATCTGCAAATTTAACTCCATTTCAACTACTATTTTCTCAATGATGGAAGCCAAACTAACTCTTGTGCAAAACATAAAAGTTGTAGCCCTTTGAGTTAGCTTTCCAATGCTTCATGAATCATCCAATTTCGAGCTCTGTGGGCTGAGTTATGGCCAAAATACTCTTGGCTGGTCAGAGCTATGTTTCAGCTTTCGACCATGCACATGTACTTCTGTATTTTGACTTTTTGACAAGGAAAACGAGTAAGCTAGACTTTGATGTCTTCTTACCAAATGTAGATCTATCTCTTAACTTCAAAATATATAAGAATCACCTCAATCTGATGCATGTAGCTCAAGATATAGCTGAAATACCATGATGTGTCAAATCTGGAAAACTTGCATTTCTTTTGTTCTTGCTTGCATTTCATCTTTGCACTTTATGTCTTCTTTAAACTATTTCAAATCATTAATAATCATCCAAATATGTTCTCAATTCACTCCCTTTGATGATTGAATCATTAAACTTATAAAAACATGAAGTTTTCACCATTAAAATTCATATAAATGCAATTTTTACCACTTAAACCACAAAATATACATTTTCACTAAAATCCTAGTTAATTAGCTATAAAAGTGACTAAAACACACCAAAATTAACTAATAAAACACACTTAAAAACATGTAAGATATATACTTATCACAAACAAACACTTCTACCACTTGGGTCGGGTCAAACTTCGGCAGCACTTCGGATCCGATGAAAAGGCTACTGTTGTTGGTGATAATGCTACTTAGGGAAGAAAAACTAGAGGGTGAACGACAACTATGGGGGAAGGAAAGGAGGTTGTCTACTGCATCAATTGGTTGGGTTTTTTTTAGTGAACTCCATCCTTTTTTTCTTGATATTGGTTGAAAAAGTTGAGAAAAGGGCATGATGGAAGAAGAAAAAAAGAAAAAAGAAAAAAGAAAAAGGAATGAAGAAGAAGGAAAAGACAAAAAAAGAAGAAGATGAAATTACTTTTATGTCCCTATTTTTTTTGGTTTGTACCACTTACACAATCATGCTATAGGAGGGTGCTGTTCACACTCCTAATACACCGTCAAGTTTTTTGATTCCATCACCGATTTTACTTAACTGGAATATAGTTTGTAGTTTAGGAACTTAAGTGTCCCATTTTGAAGTTTAGGGACTGAAGTGGGATTTCGTGTATAGTTTGAGGGGACAAAAAGGAATTAACCCTTAATGAAGGGTATGAAGGAAATTTTAGAGTATAAAATAATTAGAAATGTCAAACACAATAGATATTTTGAGACAACCAAAAAAGAGAAAATAAAACATTTTCAATGGGACGGAGAAAGTATATTTCAAAAGTTACTATGATCCTTAACTTGGTTCACAAAATGTTACTAGTCTTACAATCATTGCAGCGCCTTCAACTTGTCGTGATTGTCAACTTTTGAATGTATATCCTAATGTTATAAACATGTCGTGGTTGTGAACTTTTGAAAACCAAATATGTATCCTAATATATAATGCCAACTTTTGAATATGCAGGTTATGAACTTCATTACTTAAAAAAAAAACGAATTTGTTGAGATTAACTAATGTGGTTTTAGACATAATTAACCTTACTACTTGTATACTTTTTCGATTCATTTAACTTCTTGCGCACAAAAAAAAAGAAAAGAAAAGAAAAGAAAGAAAACATAAAACAGAGTTTAAAAAATACCAAAATTATTTAGGACAAACAATAAGTACGAGGTGTCGTTTAAAAGATAGATTAATTTTATATATATTAACGGTATATACACTATCAAGTTTGAATGCATGATAATTAATCTAAAATAAATTGAATTTGAAATTTAAATTTTGTATCTTTGTTATGCATTCAATTATGATAGTGTATACAAAATTGACTTTTAAAAGACTGTTCTCGAAAAAACAACATGGGAAATTTGAAAAACGTTTAATCACCTTTACAAATTATCCTTTTATTGTACTCATTATTTACTTAAGGTGTACAACCAATCAAA